ATGTATTAATCTTTAAATTTTTTTCAACCTGGACATCCTTATTGTATTCTGTATGGAATTAGTAACTATGGTGAAGGTAGGATTTTTTTTTCAATCTAGTTTTACCTTTGAAATTATCTTTTTACAAATTTGTCTTATGGAAAAGTAAATAGTCAAAGAAGTAATTTGGTAGTGAGTTTGTGCTGTTTAAATTTTTATTCCTAAATACCTTTACTTTTTTACTTTTATTTCCTTTTATTCTGAATATTCTCACGTTTCTTAAAAGTAGAAAAAATTTATTTTTGTCTAAGTTAGTATTTTAATTAGATGCTAGTCTAATGCACCTAATCTGGAAAAAGTCAAGGTTGTGTTCTTGATCAATATTAGCAGTTTCAGAATTTCTGGATTCTTGTAGAATGAGTATATTTTATTCTTGATGGAAAAAAGTGATGTAAGACAAATAAAAAATATTTGAAGTAAATATTTTATACAACACAAACCAACCAATGGAATTTTGGAATGAAATACTACTAATACTCACAAATAAATATAACGTTCTTTGATAACAAGCAGATTTTCCTTTAGATAAAGTGAAATTTCAGGATTTATCAGTTTAGTTGCTCATTTAAGTTGGTTCTCCCTGAACATACGGATAAGTTTATAAGATCAAGGAGGTACTTCAGTGACTATCCCTTTTATGATTTAAAAAAAAAAAAAGTGTGCTATGCTTGGAAATAATTGGAATCAATGATTTTAAACTGCCTCAGTACCTACTCTGAGTATTTTTTTCATCTGCATTTAGAATTAGATTATGTGTCAGATTTCAAGGATAGAATCAGAAAAATAGCACAGCCAGGAAGAGGAAAGAAGATACTTAAAGATAAACATTTTTTTTGTAATTTTAGTGAACTCTTAAAAATACTCGAATATTTTAAAAGATTTTACCTTGCTTATTTTAATAGGTAGAAATTATAGTAAATGTTAAACAATTCCTATGGTTGTTGATAAAATTATAGGAAATTATAATTAGTATAAAAGAATTAGTTCAAATCATTTGGAGTGGAGAAATTTTCAAGCAGATTTTTGTCACATTAGAGAAGTTTTAGTTTGTCACCTGTTAACCTGGTAGGCATTTTATTTTTATATTTGTGATCTATCTTGATCTTTGTTTCATTGAAGCTGCCTTATATTATGTTGATGTATATTTAGGCTTTTTTTTCTAAAGATATCCCTCCTCCCACTCCCTTCAAAGGAAACATGCTAAAGCTCAGTGACCATTAAAGGCCCTCATAATATGATTGGCTTTTAATTATGTACAAGTTCTAACGTACATTTACAATCTTGAGGCTTCTCTGTTTCATTGTGTCAGGAACCTCATTAACATAATGCTTACTCCTATAATACATATGTTAACTCAAGTAGAATTAAATCTGGTAACAGGACCACAAGTATAACTTCTATAAATGGTGATAAGTGAGAACATTAGCCAATGCAAGATTTCCAATAGATATCATACAAACTTTGTGAAAACTGTATTTTTGGTAAATATGCCGCATATATTTGACTTTTGTAATAAAGTTGATTATAGATTATCATTTCTGTTTGAATTTGAGATATGTGTTCAGTTGAAATATAATAATAGTTAATATGCTATGTTGGCAAGGGATGAAGTATTGGTTTACACAAAATTTACATAATTTATAAAATTTTACAGAAAAACTAACATATTCATTCTCATGAACTTACTTCCTTTTTCCAAACATGCTTAATATTTTTTAAAGACCAAAATATAGTCAGATTTAGTATATATGTTGTTACTTTCCTTGATTAAAAATCCAATGTTAATTTTTATAGTTAGCACATTGATAACTTGAATTTTAAAATATTGTTTAAAAATAGCTTACCATAAAAGATGAAACGGAGTTTGTGAGTTATTCATCATATTTTATAAATGTCTTCTGTTCACGGTAATTTGGGAAAATATTTCAACTTTCTTTCATTAGTTTATATAATCGAATGGACAAAAAAAATTATATACATTTTCTTTATAATGTGAGTCCAAAACAAAGATCCAGCTATACTTGCAGCAGTAATGCGCAGCAATGGACACCTGACAGAGAGTATACCTTTACTATTCTTTATCTCTGAACTGAACTGAACTAGTTATTGGTTAGATGAAGAGTTGGAATGAGTTCTCATTGGGATTACCATTAACAGCACTGAAAAGTAGAATGTTTAACTGTGGCAAGGTACTGATCAAAGGAAAGGTAGGGAGCTGGGAAGAGTGGAGGGGTACTCTTAACTTCTTTCAAGGATCACTGAAGTTTGCAATCCATTACAATAATATATGCAAAATAAGCACTGATAGCTTATTACCATTTAAATAAGACATGGCTATGTAAATGAGATCGTTGTCTGTAAGGGTCTCTTAAAATGAGGATTTGTATTAACAAATAGCACATGATAAAACTGTAACCAAAAGGAAGGCCAGAAAGAAAACTAAAAAATGTTTTCGATACATTTGGTATATATACATTGAGATTTTATGATTTGCATGAATATTCTATCTGGTGAATTAGTTATTTGATTTTTATATGTTTAGTTATGACCTATTTTTAATGGATCATATTCTCATAAAAACAATGGGAAAATGATTTAATGGCAGCTTTTCAGTTCGTTGTGAGATCATTGTCAAAAATCTTTTATTTTCATCCCCCTATAAGTCATGTATGGAGTTCCTGGATGGTGCAAACGAAGAGAAATATAAATTTTGCATTATTTTCTTTAAAAAATTTTATTTTAATTATTTATACTAAGATCAGCATTACCGTATTTTCTTACAGGAATAAAAGCATTGGCAAACTGCTTGCAAGGTTGTAGAATGTACCTCTTTTTTAAAAATGTTTCAGTTTAGGTGTCACCATAATAGTGCTTTTGTTTCATCCTTGTTTTGACTCTTTATTTCACATGTTTTTATTGGGTCAGATAGCATCTAATAGAAAGAAATTTGACCAGGTTATCAGGAGACCTCTGTTCTATTTCTGGTTCTACCACTGAACTTGTTTTGTGACCTTGGGTAAGTCAGTTGAACTCTAATGTGCTCAGTTATTCACTGTAAGAAATTCATGAATGGGTTGAGAATTGTGAATGTTTTGAATCCATATAATAAAAACATTGCATTGGTGTCATTATAAAATAATCCAAACTAACAGGAAAATACTAGGTAGAACAAGAAGCTTCATTTATGTATGTGGTTTTTATGTTTTCTGCAAAAATAGTGTGTTTTTAGAGACGGAATATAATTAAACAATTATTTCATCCCATATACACCAGTTTCATTTTAACATGTTTAGAAACCGTTTTAATTGTATGGGAAATGTGTATATAGGGAAATTTTACATGCAAAAAAAAAAAATGACATGATACAATTCAGCATTAACCCAAGTTATTAATATGTCTGTGATTTTTCTGCCTTGTCTGCTTTGAGAAATGGGTGGAGAAGGGATGAAAAGAACATATGGCATATTTCAGGAGGAGGTGAGCACTTTTCCTAGTGGTCAATCCTATCAGCCACCTCTGCTTTGTAATGTATTGTGATGAGATTTAGTGTCTGGTTTTGAATAGGTTAAAAATGTGCTCATAATAGTATAATAAAAATAGCACCGTTGAATTTCAAAATGTGTCATTCCTTTTCCAGTCCTCTGTAACTCATAGTAGGATTTCTCTTTTTTTCTTAAGGGAAAAAAAAGTTTGGACCATCTTAATACTTTGTTCTAATAGAAAGTATTCATTTTCTTACTATTCAGATAAACAGATAATTCTGTTATAAAAAATATTCTTCTCAAGCTATAATTTCAATATATTGAATATAGCAAGTGTATTTTGATACAATTTGTTTTTGTATAAATCATTCCGGAACCATGATACATCTGTTGCAGAACTGGTATGGTGTTTTGATATAAGAATTTTGTGGTACTTACTTCAAAGCCGAGTAGATACTTAAAATAGGAGATTTTGATATTATTTTGTACTGTTCATCTGTGCTAATCATACTAGTGCTTACTCATTAATATCTTTGGAAAAAAATTTTCTTAGAATACTGAGTATAGTAGACCTGTTCTTGCCTTCGAACTTAGTAAAATGTTTTCTGAAAATCTCCACTAACAAAGGGAGAAAGAAGTGTTTTCAGAAGGTGTGCAATATCTATTATAGTAGATTATGGACTAGGATGGTTAAATTTTAATGAGAACTTCAATAACATGTAATGTGGTGTTTATAAGAAATTCCTTAATAAATAGGCATTGTAAAACAATATGATCAAAGAAAATTTGTCTAAATTGCAGGTTAGTTTAAATTTTTTATTTTGAAATAAAGTCTTATATTTTGGCAACTTTTCTTATAAAGAGTTATATTTCTTATACTCCATAGTATTTTATGGTAATTTTTTGCTGTATTGAAGTAATTCACTGAAATATTGGTCTCATGGCCATGCTTTATTTTCATGTGTGCACTGATTAACTCAGGAAACAAAAAAGTATAGAAATCTGTTGGAACATTTTTTATTGCTCTTTTTGATGATGACTCAAATTCTTTTCTTTAGATGATAATTAAAAATTCCGAAAATCATTTTCACAGATTTAACTTGACTCAGTAACGTCTTGAATGGTGTCAGCATATGAGTAACATTATTTTACTAATGGTATTTTTCTTCAGCTTCAGTACTCAAGATTGGCTGTACACAAATAATTGTAAACTTTTGAATCCACTTTATTTCTACACTAACTTTATTTTTCTGATTCTGCTAACCTATAGTAGCTTAACCAGTTCACCATCAGTTCTTGCTTATTCTTTTCTTTTATGGTATGCATTTGATGTCATCTTCCCTACAACTGTACACAGGATTCTTTATCAAAATGATTTTGGGCCCGCTCCTTCAGTGTCACTTTTTGCCTTTTGAGTATATCTGCTCACACTCATCTCCTTTGTCTATGTCTGTCCATTACATGATGTGATCACAGAAGAAGTGGACTCCCCAAGGAGAAGATATTCAGGTCTGTCTCTTCTACCGCTTTTCTTTGTTATGTTTTCATTTACCTAACTAGTCCTAGAAATTTTTTACCATTTTTTATTCATTTCATAATTTTTCATTCTCCTCTAATATAGGAAATTATTAAATTCTGAATACATTTTTATTGTAAATATTTGTATATTTAACTTTTAATAGCAACTGCACCGATTTGATGGATTATAATAAAATGATTAATTATATGTGTGTATATGTGCACACACACACAAACTTCTCGATTTGTTTTAGGCCTAAAACCTGTCTTTGGCTTTTTTATATAATCCTAAAAATATTTTATTTCTACCATGAGTTCAGCAGTGTGCTAGACTGGGGAGAATCCCAAAAACCTATTAGACATGGTGCATGCCCTAAAGAAACTGTCATTATCACTGAAGCATTAAGATATGTATGAAACATATTGTGTTTACTGCCAATAGGGATGCTTTTAATTCTACAAGGCTATGGAGCCAAAATCTGTTTCAGCTAGATGGCCTCAAAATGCTTAATGGGAAGAGATAAAACTTGAGCTGAAATTTGGACATTCATTCAACACACATTTATTAAAATGCCTGCTGTGTGGTACTGTTCTAGGTGCTGGAAATAACAGGACATTCAAAATAACTTCCTACCCTCCAGGTGTTTTATTTACTGTGAGTCTGACAAGTAAATGCAATAATATTACAGATGCAATGAGAGGATTATATACATATATAGACTGGGAGAAAAGGGGTACAAGGAAAGAACTGAAATTTGTGGAATATTGAAGGCATAGCAGAAGCAAATGGATATAGAGTTGGAAGAATTGAAAGTTATTATCACATATTGATTTAATGGCATTTAGATTTTCAGATGTTAGACAATTCCAAATGATGTAAAGATACAGGGTTTGGCCCTGAGAGTGGGTTTCTGATTTATGGAGCATGGATTAAGGTTTGGGGAAGCAAGGAAGGCAGTAAGCTTTGATGCTAGTATATAAAATTTACATTGAAGTCCCTGAGAGTGATGGCATAAGGTTGGTAGAAACTACATGAAGAGAATTAGAGAAGTAGATGATAGTAGTAAGGAAGTATAATGGTATGATCATAAAAGGAATAGATTTTTATGTGAGATTGAAAGTAGAAGCATCAATGCAGACCTGGATGAATGCTGACACCACTTCCAAGCTTCTGTAGTGTATGAAGTGCAGGCTATTGAACAACTCCTCAAAATATTTCTGAGGACAATAGCATTCTTGTAAAAGGGTCAACTTTCCATTAAGGCTAAAAGGTGAAGGGGGCATTCTGTGATGAGGCTGAGGATGTATAGTGTTTAAGTCAAAGGAATAAGGATTTCAGAGTCTATATGGAAAAGATGAAGCCCTGGTGGCGTAGTGGTTAAGAGCTTAGCTGCTAACCAAAAGGTCGGCAGTTCAAATCCACCAGCTGCTCCTTGGAAACTCTGTGGAGCAGTTCTACTCTGTCCTAGAGGGTTGCTATGAGTTGGAACTGACTCAACGGCACCTAACAACAACAACAATGGAAAAGATTAAGATGATCCTAAGCAGTTGTGGGATGAAATAGGGGAAGAAGCTCAGGGTAGGTAGAGTTGACAGTACAGATTGGAAAATGTTAAGAAAAGAATAGGTATTGAGGAAAGGGAAGCATGAACTATTTTTTAATTTAATAGTGCGGAGTGTATAAGGAGAAGGGAGCAAATTCAACATTTTAAACAAAGGAATCTTCATGATATGCATAAAGACGGGGAAAGGATTTGGTTGAGAGGTTTAAGTTTGAAGATTCTGAAGAGAAGAGGATTAGTAATGGAAGCAAACTTTCTCAAGAAAGAAAAGAAGTGGTATTCAGGACATAGGTAGAAGGGTTAAATTTAGGGAGAGGAGAGATTTTAATTTCTTCAGATATTTAGATTTTAAATTACTTTTCATTGTTAGCTAAACATAATTGAGTTCTAAACATAAACTTCTAAAACTGCTGCTGTAGTTACAAATCTATAGTACCTCCTTTCCTCCTTTTGTGGGGGGCGGGGGGTGGGGAGCTGAAGTCTAAGCCTTCTGACCTGAGCAAAGTTTCAGTTGTAGGTCCCTAATACAATAACTGGGATCTTAGTCTATAATAACAGGCCCTAAGTTCAGGATTCCACAAACTCACCTAAACCTAGAAATAAATGAAAACTAGTGCATTCTGTTCCAAAGAAAATAAGAGTAAAGAGAAGGTAACAGAGATGCTAATAAGAAGAGGGAGAGAGAAAAGGAAAACAAGTTTGGAAGAGAAAGCAAGGAAATTTGTGACAATTCATGAAAGTAAGATGAAGTTAGACATTTCTAAAAATGATTGGCGTATATGACCAATAAAATCTAATAGCTTGATTAACCTATCACTAACATCTCTAATGAATATGTAAGTTAGTGTTTTTATTATTATTGTGAACACCATTTATTTATTTATTCTTCTTTTTTTTAATTGATGTAATTAAATGAAGTTTACATTTCAAGTTAGTCTCCCATACAGAATTTTTTTTTTTAACATACATTGTTATGAGACCCCAAACGCTCACCCCATTCTGTGACAGCACACTCCTCCCCTCCGCCCCTGATTCCCCATGAACATTCAACCAGCTCCTAACTCTCTCTGCCTTCCCCTCTCACCTCTAGACAGAAGCCGCCCCTTTGGTCTCCCATATCTACTTGTCCAAGAGGCACATTCTTCACGAGTTTATCACTCTCCGTCCCACGGTCCAGTCCAATCCCTGTCTGAAGAGTTGGCCTTGGAAACTGTTTTAGTTTTGGGGTGATGGAGAGACCAGGCGCCATGCTTTCCGGGGCACCTCCAGTCTTAGACCATTAAGTCTGGTCTTCTTACTAGTATTTGAGTTCTGCATCCCATCGTTCTACTGCTCCATCAGGGACCCTCTGTTGATGAACACCACTTATTTATAATTCAACCCCAAATGTGAAGGGAAAATCATTTCATAAGTCATAATCATTTCCCTCACATTTGGGTTGAAGTGTATGTTTTATGTGTTAAGCCACAGTTATAAGACCTTCATTTGTGTGAATAGATCCAAGTATAGTCACTGCAACGTAGTCCTACACAATGAAAGAATAGAATTGGTCATACATTTTGAAGCAGCAAAAAACCATCATTTTTAGCCCTTAGAAATCATAATCAAGTTTCTTTTTAATGAACAATAGTGAATTTATTTGGATCTGTACCTTTTCTTATTATGAAATTTCACTTGACAATTTCATTTTGTTAGATAATTATAAAACAAATCTACAGATCATATGAAATAGAGCTAACAATACAAAAGAGATTTAAAAAAATACTATTTTGGTAACTTACATAAAATTAATACTTGCCTATGTATTTAAATTCAAGTTCCAATTATAGACTCTTCAAAATAATTCCAGACCTGGTCTAGAGCTTCTGACAATCTTAGTGCTTATATATCAGTTATATTCATAAGGAGATTTAAAAATCAGAAGGTGATTTACCAGTCATATTTCTTACCAATTTCTTAGACAAATTATTAACTAGTAGGGTATGTGCTACCTCAAGAATTTTAGAGAATGTGTAAGAATATTACTGTCTCAAACTTGTTCACTAGACTGCACAGTATTAATGTTAATTTGAAAAGCTTAACAATTCAGGTTTAATAGATTTTAAGGTTTTTAAATAAAAATATTGAAAATTAGTAACATATTCTGTACTGCAGTTATAATTGCAAATCAAATTATTACTTCAGTTTCCTACTAGGGTTAGTAAAGGGAAATTTTTCAAAATTAATACAATTACAATATTCTTTCAGCTGGAAAAGAGTCTCTCTTTTTTATGTAATTTCTCTGATTATTCTGAATGTTGTCTATTATGATATGTGTCATTTTCAAACTTGCACTTCAATTCTTGTCAGATTTCCTGGCATATATGCCATGTTTTGAATTATATAGCCTTTCATTTGACATTTTGCTTTACTCCTAATAGGTAAAGAGAAGTAACATTCAGAGCAGGGGGACTTTAACATATGTATATGAATGCACACATATAAATGCACATTTATCCTGAAATTTTCCTGAATCTTACAATTATCTACAGTTATCTACTTATTAATGAACTTCTATTCAATCTTATTCTACCCATTTTACGGATGTTCTCTGTGCATGGGTTACATCCTATATTTTATGAACTCAATATTAATGATAAAACTCTAAGACACAAATACTCAAATTTTTTTCTCGTGAAAACCATAACCCTAGTGTACAGAAATCTTACTGAAAAGTGCAAATCCGTCAGTGCATAAGGAAGCATAAGGTGCCAACTCTATGTTCAGCACTATGCTAGATGCCTTAGATTTATTTAACCAAACAAAAAGTCTCAAATTAAAAAATATATTTACCTATATAAATATATCACATGATAGATGACAGCCCCTATTCATAAAGTATAATAATTAGCTTTATTTTTTAAAGCTTATAAATACATACTCAAATACAAGAAAAGAAAAGAGAGTTGAGGAAAATCTTGAAACCTGAAATAGTGGGAATAAATAACTATGGTCTTGAGAATTTCTTACTTGTGTGGGTGGTATGGAGGAAACTGGAAAGATTGGATTAGGGGGCAAGAGACTTAGTTTTAGCCCTAGTCCTGCTACTGAGCTATGTGACCCTAGACACATAATTTAACATCTTTAGGCTTCAGCTATCTCCTATTTAAAATGGGGGTTTGGAATGCATTGCTTTTAACTTTATGGATATTAAACTCCATGTACATTGAAGATACATCCTGAATGTGACATGTTACTGCTAAATTCTCAAAATATTTCTCATGCATTCCAAATATTGTAACATTCCATTTTACTTAGGCTCACCATCCACTTTAACTCTCTTTCCTGAAAATTTCAACTGTTAGGCAAAGTATTTTCTCCTGTAAGAAATATTAGTCTGAAAAGCAATAGAAAAGCACTGACTCTGGAACTAGAGTGCCTGATCTGTGC